GAACCAGCCACCAAAGAAGTCACAACCAAATCCATCCTTAGGCAACCTTTTGGAAGCGTGCCCTTTCTCTGCTACTCGGTATCGGAGCAATCGGCGGCAGCCACACCGTTCCCTTAGATGAACTAGCGCTACACACGCATCATGAATTCAGGGCCCGCACCTCGCCCCTGGCTGCTGGAGGCCAAGCAACCCTCACCTGGCACACGGCCGCTCTACGAAAAAGCCTCAAAGCAGAAGCAGAGGTGCCAAGCCCACAGGGCCTTCCCCTGGCTCTCCGTCTTCATTTGCAGTCTCCCATCTCACCTCAGAGGCTGGTGTCCACTGCCACTGGTGTAGGTAGCAGAGCTCTCGGTAGCATCTTGATGCCAGACAGACTGCTTCTGTATGATCGCCTCCATGCCAAAAAAGAGGCACTGAAATTTTTATCTTCTACCCTCATGTTAAGACGAGCTGGAAAGTCAACGTAGACTTTCATTCGCACCGTGGCAGATGCTGTCCTGCCGGCTTTGGAAGGGAGTCTGAGCTCGCTGAACCCTCTCACCGTGAACGCGCTTGGCTGGAGACTCACGAAAATTATTCTCAAACTGAGTACAATACATTTATAAGTCTGTGTAATATGATGTGGTAAACTCAAATAAACAGGTTCTGGATGCTGTCTCTCAGAATCACCTTACAGTTTAAACTTTCACATACCTTGTTCCCTTGGCAGGTGAAGCAGGAAAAGCTTCCCGAAAGACTCCAGAAGTTTATCAACACAACTAGTTGTTATCCTACGGGTAGATATTTGGCACGGATACACAAATGATACTTAAGTGCAAAAATGCCCTCAAGGAAGCAGGAGGAAAAAAAAAAAAAAAAAAAAAAAAGAAATTGCACAGAACTGTATCCCAGAGGGAACAAAAAAATAAAAGTACACTCAGTAACTGGGCTGTTGATAAAAGACCTGAGGGGGAGAAAAAAAAAAAAAAAATCTAGCGACACTCAAGGCTTGCTTACACATGCAAAGAATTTTGCTATGTTTCTCTCTTGCACCTGTTCCTAGAAAAATCAGTTTCCCTTGTGTTGCGCAAGATCTCTTCCTCCACACCCACCTACCCCGATTCCAGGGTGAGACTTCTCCTTTTGCCATTTCCCCCCTGCCCCGCCGGCTTGTCTTCCACAGAACAATGTTGCTTTGCAGTCACTGCAGAGTATTCGCACATCTCCCCTCCCACACCCAGCCATGAGGGAACTTTCTTCCAAGCTCACCCCAGGACAACCCGCAGCTGCCACAGTAGAAGCACCCCTCCCTCTTGCGAATAATACGCAGCCATCTTTAAAACGACTGGGAGCAGAATCACAAAATTTCTCCAGACCCGCTCCTCCTTTCTTATTCTCAATTATTCTAGATGCAACTGACACATTGACACCAGTTTCTTAATGTCCAATGGCTATGAATCCCTTGGTGTCATTTTAAGAGCTCACATCATCTTCCACCTTCTTTCCTTAGAGAGTATTACCAGAAATTAGGAGGGGTTTGGTTTGGTTTGAAGAAATTAGATCCTTGAGATACTTTATTCTGATTCTTCTAAAGAAAGCTTACAATGGCCTTCCAGCTTAAGTCCCAGGATAAGGCAAAAGTTCTTGTTCTACAACCTTTATTTTGTGAGGAACTACAGTAACATTTTATATTCATTTCAGAAACGGACTGAGGGCTTTGACAAGATCACTACTTCCAGTCTCTGTACTGTCATCTCAAATTATATTGCTTTCCATTAAATTGTTCATTGTCAGAAGACTCACATCAGAAAGCTTAGTACCTGAAATTGTCCCAATACAAATTCAGTTTTTAGGGGCTCCAAGTCGGAAATTGGTTTCTGAATGAGAATCAAAACAGTGATAAAACAATTCCTACAAGTTATACTACTGTAACCTAAATGCAGTAGTAAAATTAAGTACAATGGCCTCACGCGCTCATGTTTCTTTTTTTGAGCATGAATTTCAATTACTAGCTTTATCCTTATCTTAGCAGGTATGCAAATATGCTTTTCCATTCACATTTGGAAAAAAATGAGACTAATTAGTATCAATAGACAAATTTGAAATGTACTGTTAAGTAATTTTTCACCAGAACTCATTTATAGCCAGTTCGAAGGTGCTTACCAGAAGTGAGTATTTTGCTGTGCTAGTCAAACACTTGTTAGTCTCTGCTTGTTACATATGAGCTACTTTGGTGCTAATACTATGGTTCATCACAAAGGGAGTAATATATCAAAAGTTTACTTCTCATGTTGTCCATTTTCTACAGGAAAGCCATCATTATTTCATTCTGATTTATTATAAATGCAGAATCGGACATTATAGAAGGCAATTGGCGGCAATTTGGCAAGGCAATTTGGCTACACCTAGCCAAATAACAGCCTTACAGTAAGTTCAGAGTTTCTGAATAAAGCAAAAAGTATGTTTATTACAGAGAACAGCAGTAGAAAATTCTTGCCTTTACAAAAAAAATAACAGCACTGAACATTCTAGTGCTTCTCCTGACTGTTATGTATGCAGCAATTTAACCAGCAGTGAAAGTATTCTTCAAGTTTTCCTACAAATGAAAGAATAATAAACCTTAAGCGAGGAGGATGACAGAGTTGTTGCCACTGAACTTGTTTATAAACAGTCTCCTGTATCTTTTCGTGCTCTGATTCAAATACAGAAGTTTACTGACTTATTTAATATGAATTAACATGGTGGGCTAAATTGTCGCTTTAAATCTGATACCAGTCAGCTGCCCAGCAGTACTCCAGAAACAATGATGCCAGTAAAAAAACCAAGTCCAGTAAGGCAGCCAGGTCAAAAGCAATTTATTCACAAGAGACAGACTCCTTCATATTTCAGGTTATTTTACCCTTTCTCGTTTGATGACATCTTACCTTTACAGAATACAGAACGGCCACTTGTTTCTCAGTTGTATAATCTCTTCAGGGTTATATAAATTTCGCATCATTTCAGTAGGAATGTAACCAACACTGTGGCTGTTGAGGCTTGGTATCATGATGTATACCTCAGGATACTGGTTTTTTTAAACCATGTTCTCCCTTGAACATTTAAGTGATCTTATTTTCCCCTTCTAAGACTACATTTTAAAAAAACAAAAACACACCACAGAACTGAGCATACAAAACCAATCAAAAAAAATCTCTTCCCACTCCACTAGAAATTTAATCCTTACATATGTATGTTGTTTATTCTAATAAGGGATCTTTATTTTCTTGGTATTCCTTCTCTCTTTCCTTACTTTTTTTTTTCTTTTTGCAGCTATGAACAGACCAAGTAACTCTCAAAGTATTGAGAGTTGAGCAAAATGTAGCAACACACATTAATTTTCACTGCTGTTTAGCATAAGGATTAACTTCCCATTAGCACTCCCCTTAAATGCTTGCATCTCATCTGCACGGTTCTCCATTAAGAAAAAGCTGCCTTTGCCATCTGAAGAGACAAAATACCAAGTGTAACCTTGTGCTGACATATGCAATTAGCCCAAGGTCAGTCAAGGACAGGGAAGCAGCAGAAAGTAACAATGCAGAGAAATTATATAAAGCCAAGGGAAGGCAGACCTTTAACTACCCAAGGGTGGCTTTTCTTTGATCATGCATTAAGTACATCATGATGTACCTACCTTCTTTAAACTTAAAAACAGTCCATCCTTCCCAATAAGAAAACAAAACAAACAAACAAAACAAAAAGTACTTTGAACTACCCATCTGTTACATCCCACCAAGGACAAATAACCGCTTTCAGGGATCCCTCCAAAAACTTGTGTTCAAGTGATAAGCAGCCAGTCATTAAATACTGATGATGCAAGTTTCTTCATGGCTGAGATGCAGCATCTAGTACTTTCAAGTGCCACTTCAAAACTAAAATACTTACATACTTCCCAAAGGTGCTCTGCAGATCGCCAGCTGCCCACAAAGACTCTAGCTACACATGTCTGGATGTGCGACCATTCTAATTTTAAAAAACGTGTTCTAGAACTTGATACGGTGCTTTGAAAATTTCTCTGAAAACTTGACACATAGAGGAAAGACAGGAAAGCATCACATTTACAAAGCACTTTTGAAAAAACAGAAATGTGAAGTGAATCAGCAGGATAGTGTGTTTCATTAAACTTTCCCCAAGAGGATTTTCTGTCGTTAAATGCTTCTAACAGAACTCTGGCCCTGAGGTGAATCTCCTAATCTGGTCAAGCCGACAGAAGAATTCTGTGCCAAAATTACTAGGTTAGGATGTTGTGTGATTAGCTGAAGGACACAACTCCTGCCTACCTTTTAGGCATTTAGTAAAAGGAGCTCTCCTAAAATAAGCCTGTCCAGAGATGTGCCAGTGTCTTGTGATGCTCCTGCCTAAGTTAAATCTAAGTTAAAAGGGTCATTTCAAGAATTCCAACTGTCTAGATAGGATTAGGCAACTAATCTCTCAGTTATCCACACAAAATGATTACACAAAACCCCTCCTCACAGGCACCATAAACCCACAAACTGACAAATGCTTAGAAACAGCACTTTGATGATTCTGTGAAAAAGTTCAGACAGTTAAACTTCCCGTGACCGTAGTGTCTAAATTAACAGACTTTCAACAGGGTCCATTAGAAAGCAAATCGGAAGTACTGCGCAGGACTACCAAGTATGTATCACTGACTAACAATATGGACTTTCCTTCCCATTAGGCTACAAGTTTTGTCACAGCCCTCTGCCTTCCATCACCAAAAGCAAAGACTTAGTTTAAATTTTCTTCCAAAACTAAGTTCATGATGTAGAGAACTGCCTCCTCTTATTTGGCTGCAGCAAGCCTATCACTAGAGCAGCAGTGGCATTTATCTCAGTGCAGGTCTTAACTACCGTTCTAGTTAGTACACAGGGTTTTAGTAATCAATCTTCAATTTTTAAGTATAGAGAGGCTTGGCTTCTTTTGTGTTTTAATTAAAAAAGACAACTGGAGATTTCTTGCCAAAGAATAAATAGAATGCTAGGTCAGGCAACAGTCATTTATTTATTGACTTAAACAAGCAAAAGGTATCCTCAGACATAATGGCCACCACTTGAGCAATACAAATCAATGCTACTGAAGAACAGGGAACATCTTTTCTCTCACCCCTCCCATCCCAGAAGTAACAATAGAAATACCAGGGCCCCTAGAGAAAAGAGAAGGAGAAAAATTATAAAAGGCGCTTAGAATGAGCTGTAGAGTTGAAATATGGACACTTAAAAAAAAAAAAAATCGTCATTAGCTAATCCACCGTATCACCACAATCACCTCAAAAATAACTTTCATTGTTCCATTTCTACCAGGTACCAAATATAGAGCGCTGTTTAACAGCGATTTCAATGTATTAACAACTGTCCTCAGCTGAAGCAGAACAGCAATTACTATTTATATTAAATCTGAGGCTGCAGACAGAAAGAAAGATTTCCAGAGTACAATGCAAGTCACTGAAAAGACAGTGGGGGAGAAACAAAGTGACTTTTAAGTTACTGTACCTCTCTATCAGTCAAGCAATTCATTCTGTGCTGATAGCTCATTACAGACACAGTATCCTGATAGAGTATGGCAACTCTACTCACCCTGTGACAGTGTATCTGAAGAATGTGTCTATGAAGAATGTATCTATAAGTCCCTTAAGTTGTGGGCCACTGAAAATCCCAGCCTGCTACTCCTGCGTGGGTATTTTTTAATCAGACATCAGCAAAAAAGTAAACAGACTGCATGCAAAACAATTGTTGCTAAATAATTTTGTCTTCCTTGTAACAGTTGAAAATATGAGTAAGGCATTCCTCAGATTTAGAGAAAACATTAGGAGGCTGTAGTTTTGCAGGCAAGGAGACCTTTTATTTTAATCCATTAAAAGAACCCAAAATAGTCAGCAGGTGGCCACATCTATCCACGTTTCATTAAAATCACATAAACCCTAAGTACAAAAGCACCACTGATTATTGCTCTAGAAAAACTGCATGAAAAATTCAAATACGCACAGTAAAAACATCACCATATGCACATGACTTTAATTTCTTAGAGCAAGTGTATGGATTGCTGATCCAATTTTACACATACCTTGCAATATTAAGTTGATATTTATATTACTTGGCAACAATGGGAATTTCTAAAAGCACTGTTATGAGAAGGGAAATGTTCATATACAGTTTAATATGTCAACTATCATAGTCCTAAAAAAATTAGCATTTACAAAATACTTGATAAAAATATCTTTTAAAAGTTGTCCAAGAGGTACATAAAATCAACCCAAAATTTTCATGATATTTCATTCATTCTTGTCACCTACAGATTCAGTTTTCTGAGCCTGTGGAGAAGAAAGAAAGAAATTAATTACTATAGTAAATTGCCATTGCGTACCTAAATACCCAAACTACCCTTGCTCCTTCCATTTCTTATTTGCAACAGCTCAGTTTCAAACCTATGTCCAGACTGCATTTACACAAACAGAACAGGTACATTCACACACTTTTCTTAAATCATTGGTCCCAGCTTTTCAAAAGCAATGCAAGCCTTACCTGTCAGCTTCCATTGTTCATACTGAAAAGCACCACACTACTATCTGTTTCTATTCACTGCACACATGCTGAATGCTCTACCGTACCCTTAACTTTCACTGTTTCAATCTGCCCTTTTACTGACAGTGTGCTGGGTGGGGCACCTCTGGATGTTGAAACACTAACAGTTGAGCGAGAGATGCGAATCTGCAATAACATTATGGGCAATAAAAAGAAACATTATGAACATGCTATCAATGTCTGAAAGGCTGAATAATTAAAAAACACTGATTCAATCAGCAGGAGGTATGTGTGGAAAGTACCTCTTCAGCTTTATTTTCACCATTTTCAGATGGTGTAGTACCTTCCTTTGCCGCTTCTTGCTTTTCATCCTTCTTCCCTTTAGCACCTTTGTTGGTCTTTGTTCCAGGTTCCTTCTGACAGGAGATTAAAAACATGGGCATAGACATTGTATGAGTAGCCAGCACCCTACATCTTTACCTTCATATGAACCAAAAAGCAAACCTTGGCAAGCTGCATGTGCTGGACTGAAACAGAAAACCAGCTCAAGACTACCTGGAAAATTTACATCCACAGAAGTTACACAGGGACTCTCAAAATTTCTAGAAAATGCTGATGTCTGCTTCGTCATTGTTTCTGCTAATTTACAGGGATACAAAAACCCCTCAAACTATTCTCTAGAGCTGAGCTATATATACAAGATATCTGTAAGAACAAATCCAATTACAGTATACTGAAAGCTTATTCAGCCAAGCACAGACAACATGCTGCTTGTATAACAGCACTACACTTTTGATTAACATGAAATATTAAATTAGATTTAAAAAAATAAGCATTTTTGTTGGCTGTCCTTTTGTTAGTTTGATAACATCTGTGATGTTCATTCCATGTCAATGAAAGAACCAACCAACACGCTAGGGAGGCAAACACTGATAAAATTCCATCTGCAGCAATACAAAGCAGAAAACTTATCAGAAGGAACTATTCTAACAGCTACAGTTTCATTTGAAGATTTGCTCTTAAACAAACAATTCATATGTTGAAGTCTACTTTTTTAATCCTTATCTATGTACCTATTTATATTTGTGACCTAAGGCTAACGGAGACATAGGTTAAGGATTTTAAGTGCAATGGGATAAAAATTTAACTGGTATTTCATTGACTATTTTACATTAGCATTTAAAGTAGTTCTGATAAACACTGTGGAGATCTTCCATGTGATCAACTGCTCTGGATTCTCCAACCAAAATGGCAACAGTAGCTGTGAACAGGGATATTAAGGTCAGTCTCCATTAACTACCTTTCCCCAGCAATCCCCATACAGGAGTGGGGTGGTTAAGGAGGGAGCGCCAGTAATCCTAGTCCCAGGGCAGCTTGAATTACTCCTCTTTCAACGTTACACACCGAAAAGCTTACTGGTGCTGTGAGTATAGTCCTAACTCTTCAGCTATGAAAGAACAAGCTAAGAACTTGACTTAGCAAATCTGTAATTTGCAAGCTTTTAACACTAAAAATGATCTCAAATCTGTATCATCTTCTATTGTTTACTAGCAGGCTTAGAGTATACACTTGCTGTTTTCTGTTTAGGAGACCAAGATTAATATACCCCTTAAAATGTGATCCAGTTAGAGTTTGGAAAAGAGCAGATTACTGTATTAAAAAGTTACTTAGAATAATGCCGTCAAGGATTCAAGTCGCCTGAAATGAGCTTCAAATGTCTCTCACACAGCTTAGATTGACTCCGTAACACTGAGCTCATTTCACAACATGTACATGAAGCTATAGAAGCTACCATATTCCCTTCTTTATTAATACTCTTCCTAAGAGGGGAGCAGGATGGACTCAGCAAGACTTTATTGGTAATTTAATTTGATAAATCATGGCGTGTTCGAAGTCATAGAGTTTTACTTTTACACATGGACTTGGTGTCCTGATACTTGCCCAACTGAGATACCAATAAAAGGACTTGAAAAATGTAAGTGTGAGGAGTGCTAGACTCAGTTTCCAGCATGGATTTTTCCCCTATAAAGCAATTGCTCTTGTTTAACATTCCCCTTGGGCACAAATAAATCTACAGTTTCTGAAGTCCATGATTTATATGCAGAAATCCTGAAAAGGTATTTCAGACGCTAATAAGATTTTAATTTGACTGTAACTGGCCTAGAAAACCCAAACCATTCAATTTAAATATATTTAATTTCACCTTTAATTATAATTGTGCATTCTCAGCAACAGCCAGGCTTCATGAACAGATAAGAGTTTCTCACTATGAAACGAAGTACTGCCCCTCTAGACAAAGACACAGGATGGCACAGAGTAATCTCAAATCCTATTGTAGAAATTGCTAGGTCTCAGGTAGGGCTTACTCAACCAAACCTGTACATTTCAAGAAAGGTGTAGGAAAGGTAAAGATTCTTCCTAAACTAGAAATTCACTACAAACTAACATGGTCTGCATATCAAACAGGCAAGACATTTTGTTTGGGCCAGTAATGAGGCCAGGAAGGGGTGGAGCAGAAAGAAAAGAATGATCTGATTTTTTTTTTTTTTTTTCCGGGGCAGGGGGAAGCTGCGGGGAGAGCACGGGAACCGATGCCTCACAAAAACGCTGTGAATTGAACTGTTTGCAATGCAAAGGAGTATACTTGCTTGCTATTGGCTACAATGATGGCAAATAAATAAAAAAAAAAGATGGCAACTAAAAAGAAGAGTATTTACCTTCGTGGTTTTCCTTGGTTTGGGTTCAGGTTTTGGTGGAGCAGGTTTCTATAAAACATTTTTAGTTGCACAATGTTTTAAGACATATAACCAGAAGCCAGCCAGCCACCTCCACCCCACACCTTCCCTTACTTCTGCTCATTAGTATGCATCTAGAAAAAGACTGAAAAACCTTAATGCACAAATGCACCTTATCACTGTACACACCCATTTTCATTAGCTCACTCATCGAGGAGTCAAAGCAATTTGAGGGTCATTCTAAGCGTAAAATACAGAGATTAGTAGTATCTACTAAAAAAAAAAAGTAGTAGTCAGATACATTCTAACAGAGAAGAGGAACTAAAATCAAATACTAGTCATGGCATCAAATGAAGTCCTTGAAGGACAGCTCTTTCTCCTTCCTAGAGAAGTAGTTGCATTTCCACAACTAACATCAGCCTGCAAAACAGTACAAAGTCAATACTGCATGTAACAGACAGTGTTGCACTGAGGTGGGCAAATACATATTTTGTCAGAAGAACCTGAAAACTGAAACCAAGAAAACACAGATAACTTTAGCTCTAGAGTTCTTAAATATCCCTCAGGAAGAATAAAAATTGAATCAAGCAAAATGTAACAAACCTGTTTGGTCTGAGAAACAATATGTGCCTAGAAAAGTATATAGCAAGAGGTGTTACACATACTTACAGCTGACAATCTTGCTGATCGTCTTGTGGGCTACAGAAAAAGGAAAAAAAAAACCAGGAGAAAACATGTTTATAGGCTTACAGCAAACAGTATCCAAAGCAACAGTTATTTAATGTTGACAGCATAAAATATGCCCCTACCAAAATACGTCTCTATTCCCAAACACAATTCACATCTTCCTCATCTTGGACAATCAAAATTTTAAAGGGACAAAGTGATGTGAAAATTAGTAATAAAAACTGTTCAGGAATTATAACGTCTAAATTACTATATGGTTAAACACCTCCCCCCCCCCCCCGGGCATTTTACAAGTACTTCCGACTCCCTTGCTGCTCTGTGAAAGGTTCACAAATACAGCAAGCTTGACACTTGCACAGGACACTGAACCTTCCTCATAAATACTTAGAATGACATTTCTATTATCTAGCAGATGCTACTTTAATAGCGGGTAAAAATACCATCTGATTAACAGCAGAATAAAGTTAACACCCTTCCCTAGAGGATAATAGAGTGCTAAAATTTCAAAACATGAAACTAAGTTCTTCCACTTCCGTAGTTCCCCACACACTCAATCCGAGAGTCCAGGTGCACACAGACAGCTGCAGGATGAGAAGGAGAAATTATTTTTTGTATTTAAACACCATTCTCAAAAGGAAAGAAGAAAGTCAGATATTCTGCTTTCCTCCACCTTTCTTCATCGCTTCAACACACCTTATTAAATTTTATTTCACTGTTCTTTGTCATAAATTACCGAAGATGAGTTAACTCTTAGAAAAAGTTGTAAGCTCATTAGTTTGTTCACAATATTTTTGTATTCATTAAAACAGATGAAACCGTGATCCAGTTACACAGCATGGTTATCAGAGTTAAAGTTTGGTTTATGTCATAAAACTGGAATCACACTTGTAGCCAAAATAAGGGGACAACTCAACTGCAACAAATATCCAGTGTAACACAGCTTAAAAAGTGAATAAAAAGTATCTTAATTACATATTAAGTATTTGAGCTGAAAAAACATGGCTCCACACATCTTGCAACAGGAAAAAGCTGTTGTTAGTATCTGAAGAATGCAGTAATTTGTATTCATTGGAGCCATTTAAGTATTCTTAAAGGAAAGCAGTAGTGAATAGTTCAGATCTGCATCCAGCAAAACAGAAGCCTTGACAAAAAAACACCGAAAGGTATTTTTATCTATCACGTATTTATGCATCATTAACAACAACAACAAAAAAAGTAAACCTCTCTTTTCTTGGCAATTTAGAATATCAACTGCTTGTTAAGCAGCCTAACACTATTTTACAACAGGTTAAATAAAGCATTTCACTTGGTCAGTGATATCAAAGAACTCCTAAGCTCAAGGCATCTTCTTTTACAGATCCGTTTTCTTAACTGATTATTTCCATCCCTCAGCATTTGGGCATTGGAATGTTATGTTAGCATCTACTTTTTAAAGGGTAATAAGTTGGTTTAGATCAATTATAATTCTCTTCCATATTCCCCAACTGTTCCTGCTCCATGGCTTCACAGAGGCTTGTATTGCCATAAGAAAGTCAGCATAAACCCTCAGTTCTTTAAAAATGCCTGATGGGTAAGTCATCTTAATTCTCACTGAATGAGAATTTATGTATTTTGTGTTATCTGGTTATAAGGAGGGAACTGCAGTCAAGTCAGGCAAAGGTCACATTTTGATGTGCTTTTGGAACTCTTGCCCCCCTCCAAAGAGCTGTGCTAAGCCAGGAACTAGCAGCTCACCCAATCGTCTACTTGACCCTGGCCCGCTAGCGAACACCGACAGAAAGAGTCTACAAAACAGAGCAGGCACACAGCAACCTCGCACCGCCCTGCTGCACCAGCTTCTGGCAATCTGCAGCTGTGAACCTTCCAACCTGTGTATTATATCCCCATCATGTGTTTAATAGTCCCCAAGGGTCATTTTCTCCCTAAATTTGTCTAACAGCCTAGTGAACCGGTTTACACTTTCAGTTTCCATAACATCCTGTGGCAACGAGTTCCGTAATACGATTATGCCCTGTATGGAAAAGAAGCAGCAAAACCTCCCCGCTCCGTTGTCTTTCCTTTAAACTTCTTGCCTCTTACTTCCACTAGATTCCTCTTGTTTTAGGGAATTATTACTCATGCAACCCTAACTGCCTTTCTCTGTGTTACTCATGATTTTGTCACACCTCTTTTATAGAAAAAGTCAAAATTCTAGAAAATCTTGATTGTGGTTTGTTTGTTTTTTTAAAGCTGCTCTGCACCCTCTGTTTGACTCACTATACTTGGTACCCTTTTCATTCTATCATGGCCTTTTTAAGGAATAGTCAGGAGAACTTCGTTTAGTAGTCCCACATCTGGGAGCACAACAAATTAATCTTGTGATACACAGATGTTTCACACACCGTTCTCTAGTATTTTTTCTTATAGTTACCTTTTGTTTAGAAGAACTGACATTTTCTAGTAACTATTCACTGTGATTTTACAGTCACTCACCTGATTAACACTTGATTTGGTGACCATCCCTGTGTCTTTCCCCCACCCCTGTGTATTAATTTGCACTTCTCTATATTGAATTTCTATTGATATTTTAGCACCTAGTTATCAGTGACGTAACAGCCTTCTCTGTCTCTCACTTCTGACTACCCTGATAATTTTGTAAACTTCAGCAAACTTTGTCATTTCTCCAGTACCTCTTCTCCTAGATCATTAATGAATATATTCATCAGCACAAGCCCAAACACAAATCCTTCCACTAGTCCACTGACAATTCTCCTCCAGTATGAAAATTAACTACTTCTTCCCTACTGTCTTCTCATATCTTTATCTGTTACCAATTCTTAGGAAGATCTTCCCTTTAATTGATGCTAGCTTATTTCTTGAAGAACATGCTTGGGAAGCCTTATCAAAAAGTGTTCTTTACGTGCAAGTAAACTGTATCAATTGGCATGCTATTATCCTTATACCTGTCAACGTCTACAAAGAACTCAACTGCCTGAAGTATGACTTCTCTCTGCAAAAATCTGTGTCAACTCTTCCATTATACATTTGTCCACATTTTTTTTTTTAAACTACTTCTGCAAATTAGACTCACAGGCTTTATTTTCCAGAATCCCTTATCTAAAGTCCTGGGAACATTTCATCACCTTCAGTTACTCTGGTACTGAGGCCAATACAAGCAGTAAATTATATACTTCACTTAACAGTTTGGCAATTACTGGTGAGTACTGTCTAGTTCTCGTTCACTCTCAATTGAAGAATGTCCTCCAACCCTACACCCATGAGAAAAGGCTCCACCGTGAGAACCTCCCTAAGAACTCTCCATAGTAGAAGTTTCATTACCATTTTTCAGCTTCACATTTGCCATGCTGGAGGGTTTGTCCCTTTCCCCATTATTTTCCATCAATACAAAAAACACCTTTCAAAAATAAGAAATTTCTCTTATTTTGCTATTAAGCCATTCTGGGTTTTTTGGGGGGCAGGGGGGAGTGGGGGCTATTGAAAAATAATATGTATTTCTGCAAGCCTCTAGCATGGTGTACCACAAAGCCTCTCTGCCATCTGAAACTGTTACGCTTTTTAGCTGCTCCTTTTAATGGGCTCTCATTTTTAATAAAATTCCCTTTCTTGATATAAAATCTTACCATAGCGGAGTTTATTTGCACTTACATTCCTGCAAGGATGATGAACCTGAATATATTATGGTCACAATAGTTCTCTGACAACTGTCTTTTTAACTAGCTCCTACATACTACTAAGGACCAAATAAAGAGCTGATCATCCTTTTATTGGCCCTTTGATTTGTTCCTCCAGGAAGGAAGCATTCATAGTTTTAACTTTTTTGTCTTTGTAATGCCATCCCGTGCCTTTTACCAAATCTCTGAAGGGTAACTGAAATCTCCATCAACACTATTTCCGTCCTCAGAGCCTCTCTGATCTCCCTTAACATCCCATTGCCACTTTTATTATTGTGGTCAGATGATACCTGGCACAATTTCTACACTATATACTCCCCATTTACACATGGCTTGGCAATCCATAAGGGATTCTGCTGTACTTATTGATACAATTAATCTAGAGAAATATTAAAGGCACGTAACAGAAAGCCATTCTACCACTAATGTAACTTAGCTCTCAACCCTGTATAATTTGTGCCTTGGTGTCACAGTGTCCCAACAAGTTTCTGAGTTGCCCATTATATCAATGTCCTCAATTAAAGCCAGATAGTCCAAGTTGCCCAGATTTAGATTTGCAGCTTTTGCAGTTTGGCTTGACTGCCTGTTTTCATCGGCATGAATTAAACAGGGCTTTATTCCTCAAGACTGCTCTTTACCTTTTCAGACGCAAACTTTTATGGTTTCTGCGCTAGCTCCTGCTCTCCGCCTGATGGGGAGCTCTGACTTCACCCTATGTCCTCTCAGGAACTTGCCAGTCTCCCCTCAGACGTGTAGCTTAAATACATCAGAAGACCTCCTCAGTGCCATCCACATAGGTCTGTTTTGGCTCAGACTGAAGCCACCCTTCCTACATAAACTCTACCTATTCCAAGACCTCCCACCATTTCTAATCTAATCCTACAACTATTTTCTTCATTCACGCACTAAGAGCTACAGGTGTGTCTACTGAGAGTATCTTCATTTGTTTGGGCTTCCCCCCACCCCGTAGCATCAACAGCCACTATTATCTCACCTTGACTGAAGACTACTGTAAGAGCTCTTATATTTCAGAGCCAGCGGGCTCTCTCCAGAGAGCCTGTGTATTTCTGTAAGTTTTTTGGTCTTTCTTCTTTATTCTCATTAACAGGTCTCAAATTTTTAGCAGAAGGAGCTTCTACTTTTCTGGCTCTTGAAGAAATAATATTTAAACTTGGATAGAGAAAAACATTCATTCAGAGCAAAGGAGATTATATTTTTACTATGATTTAGTCAGCCTTTTCATACTTTACGAAAAAGAAACTAATTTGTTTTCCAGAAAATGCCATAGGAAGATACTGAGGTATCAAAACCTATTCCTCTCAGACCTCCTTCTTACTCTACCTGTTTTTTTCAGGAACTTATTGTAAACTTTACTATTGTTTGAAATACTTTGACATTTCCACTGTACCATCTTTTTCTGCTGAACTGAGCCAACAACCTTCTCAATTCAGAAAGTATAAAAATTCATTAGACTATTTTTCCTATTCAAATACGCTCAAAGATTTACAAGAGCAGCAATTAATTGTTAATTCATTTGAATATTCACCCATTCTTTTCAAGGTCCTGGTTTAACTTTCTCTGCCACAAAAGATGACAACCTAAGAAAATGAATCCTCATAATTCTCTACCTGTTTTTTAAATCCATATTAAGGAGTCTGACAAACAAACTAGCAAACTTTGCTGTAGAGGTCAAGGTATCACCAGCTGCCTCCTTGCCTTCTCTGACAGAAGTTGCTGTGCCCTTAAAACAACTTCAGACAAAGACAACACACAAATGTGTCAGCTGCTCCAGTTTAGAGCCTGGTATCTTAATTCAAGACACCCTTCCATCAGTCACTTAAGCTAAGAATAGTTTTGAAGTAGACTGGCTGAGGTGTGTGTATTAACCCTCTTCTGCCAACCCGCTAGAGACAGAGCAACAGTTCCAGGCAGTAACATCCTACACTGTTACCACAAGATCCACCAGAGCTTGTCTATCAAAGCCCTACATGTTTCTGAAATTTATTTTGTGTACTAGTAAGTTGTATGAATCCTCAGTGCACTAAAACCAGATAAGCTACAAATGTGGTTTACTGTTATTATTCCCACTGAAAACACCTCACCAGAAGTGCCAGAGTAATGCATAGTCTTCTGATATGCAAGACTGCAGAACTCCAGTTAAATAATTACATGCCAAAATAAATTAAAAAGAAAAAAAAGAAATATACTTGCCTCTTGTTTAGTTACTTTTGCTGCATCCTTGCCTTCAGCACCCTCTGGAGACTGAAAGAAAATATTGTTAAGTCAGTGTTTATATTACTGGTGGATTAAAAGCTGGACATGAGCCGGCAATGTGCGCTTGCAGCCCAGAAAGCCAACCAAATCCTGGGCTGCATCAAAAGAAGCGTGGCCAGCAGGTCGAGGGAGGGGATTCTGCCCCTCTACTCTGCTCTGGTGAGACCCCACCTGGAGTACTGCGTCCAGCTTTGGGGCCCTCAGCACAAGAAGGACATGGACCTGTTGGAGCGGGTCCAGAGGAGGGCCACAAAAATGATCCGAGGGATGGAGCACCTCTCCTATGAGGCCAGGCTGAGAGCGTTGGGGTTGTTCGGTCAGGAGAAGAGAAGGCTTCGGGGAGACCTCATTGTGGCCTTTCAGTACTTAAAGAGGGCTTATAAGAAAGATGGGGACAAACTTTTTAGCAGGGCCTACAGCGACAGGGCAAGGGATAATGATTTTAAACTAAGAGAGGGTAGATTTAGACTAGACACAAGGAAGAAAATGACGAGGGCGGTGAAGCACTGGCACAGGTTGCCCAGAGAGGTGGTAGAGGCCCCATCCCTGGCAACATTCAAGGTCAAGTTGGATGGGGCTCTGAGCAACCTGCTCTAGTTGAAATGCCCCTGCTCACTGCAGGGCAGTTGGAATAGATGACCTTTAAAGGTCCCTTCCAACCCAAACTATTCTATGATTCTATTCTATAACAGACTTAAAAGCATCCAGGCAACAGCAAAACAAAGATTATGGTGAAGATTCTTCTTTCTATACATTGCAGCAACTTAAAGAAGCCTGGCAAATTTACATTAGTACTTACAAGCAGCGTTGTACCAAAGCCATTCTACGTTTCCCAAGCAAGGACACAAAGACTGATCATCACCAGGTACATACATATCACATCACACAGCATCCCTCACTGGTCCCAGAGGCTCCGGTTGGAGCTCCATCTAACCAGCAGCTGGTAGCACAACAGTATGAACTGGAAATCTGAGGTTTGCTCTGCTAGGGCTTTTGAAATCCCTGAGAAATTTAACACATTTCTTCCCAAACATGAACTTAACTAGTAATGAGATGTGATAAGACGAACCAAAAAAGCACAGCATTACCAAAATGAGTGATTTCTTTACTTCATTTACTCCTTTCGTGCCTCAGGCTCACTCAGCTGGAAGCTTTAACAGTATCTTTCCCTCATCTCATCTCCTCCATCAGAACAGTAAAACACCAAGACATTGACAGGAAAACCAGAGACAAACATGTTTCATCACAAGAACAAAGTATCAACCCCACCATTCTAATGCTGGTTTTCCACAGGTATTAGAGAAATGTTAGTTACACCATGGGGTGGGGGGTGGAGAACAAAACCTCAAGCTCCTGTCTTTTGTTTACAACTCAAGATGCATTACTTCACATTTTGCAAATGACTGGGTTTCCACCTAGAAGCAAGCAATTTGTGGAAAAACAGCGAGCAGCAGCAGTTAGAGGAGAACTACAAGAATGTCATGTGTTTCAAAAAGGCATTTAACAGGCAGCAGAGAAGGCAATTTGGTTTGCTGTTTTGTTTTTCAGTCAGTAAAGGAGCAGGCTAGTTATCTTTGCCTTTCCATTTCAATCCTAATCCAAACCTCCCCCCAGATTTTGACACAGAATGTCTCAAAGTTACACAGTAATGGTCTGGAGCAGAGAAAAAGACTGGCTAGTTTGCAGCAGTTGGCCACTGCCTTCTCCTGGCATTGGGTTCTTACTTACAGAAAGACACCCCCCCCCCACCAGAGAATAAAATGTGGCTTTGTTACTGTGTGCTCTCCTGACAGAGAGGAAGCATGCCACAAAAGCAGCTGGTTTAAAAAAAGCCGAGGACTGATCATCTAAGTAGCTAGAAAACAGCAGGAAGTTAAGCAGCACTGCGCAGCACAGAGCAACTCAGAATAGCAACATAGTCAGGCATCCAAAATGGAGCCTGACTGCTCCCTACGCTACCGCAGCCTCACCAGCCACCTGCAGGATTGTTTCAGGTTGGCATTCCTAAAAGCCTTTCAGTTTGGTTACTAAAGAGTTGCTACAGCTTGATGGTGTAATGCTGGGAGCATCAAAAGCCATAAGGAAAACAAACCCAACTAGTTCCCTGACTACTGTCAGTAACAAAGTCCTGTTTCCTACAACTTCCCTCTTCAGCTCACAATACAGTATGAGCTCTGGGTATAGCTTTTCTGTAGTCCATGAATTCATAACATCTGTTTCTCCTGTATTAATTTTCTGAAGTCTAACAAACTTGCACTGCACCCTTTCCCTGGGAGGGAACTCAAATAGCATCCTTCCTGTCCTGGGCACCTATTTATATGGAAGTTCTTTCAGAATTTATAATCTTTTCCTCATAGTGGCCAAGAGGCTCAAGGTTTACAGGGGTAGGGACAGAAAGATGGCACGATTCATTTCCTTCAGAAGCCAGGCTAAAAAACTCACCATCAGCTAAGTGAAGCTGGCTGACACTCCACAATCGGGCTGTTTTACCCTGCTTCACTTTTAGGAACCACAGAGCTTTGAAACAGGGCTAAATCATCACAAGATGGCACTGCCACATGCCAGTAGTCTTGCAGTAATTGCCCAGAGGCAAACCCTCACCCTACAATACTGCGCAGTTAACACACAGTAATTTACCCCATTCTCTTTAGCAGTAATGAAAGAGAAGTCTCCTACTTTTCTGACAGACGGGGCAGCCTGATTTTAGATGCCGATATTATTGCTTGACAACAGATTTTAAAAACTGCTCATGAAGCCAACCGCAAGGGGAAAAGATATATTAATATTAAAATACACTTAATGCAACCACAACCACCGTATACTACGATATATTACACAACATACTTCAATTAAGTTAGCTAATTAGCGCAGCATTCCCTCTCAAGTTAGAAAATCCAACAGAAATTCTGAAGGCCACATAACTTTCTCCATGGAGGGACATGCACAGTAATAATCTCAGAGGTGTGAATAAGCAGCAAGGGGTTCTGACATGCTCTGATTTCCATTTCAGACCGGCTCCCTCCTCTCTGCAATCACTACAAGTCCAGGCGTTTGGAGGCTGCGCTCATCCTCCCAGGGCCTTGGCTCCCCAGTACGCTGGCAGAGCTGCGTGGGAGATCATGTCATGAAAAAGGTAATTGATCCAGCTGAAAAATAGCACGCTGCTTAAACAAATTTATAACTATTATAACTATATATACAAATTATAAATATATAGTCTTCCCTGCTCCAGCAGAATCATTTTACTGCACAAACAATTGAGCCACTACAACAGACAAGAATGAAGCAGCACAGGGCAGCTGCAAGCAGCCTGCGATCTTTAAGCTGACAGACACACCAAAAAAATATGTATGTCAGATATGGCTAAGGGATATTTGTTAAATGAGGAACAGAAACTTATTTTCCCCTCCGAGTCCTGCTTAGACTTTCCAGTGAGTCCCAGCTGATACAGATCTTCATGCTAGTTTTTGCAGTACTTTCTCCTCTCCCTCGGGACCAGAGAGATTTGTACACAAATGGATTTGAGCCAAGCATAGTTCCTAAAGAACTTGGCGTGCCATACGCAGTGACTGTCTGCACTATTATCTGGAAGTCACAGGACTTTTACGTAGACACCACCAAAACCTTAAAGTCCTTGTCCCAAACTCTTCCACAGGAACCCTTCCCCCATCTTTTGTCCTGGTGACAAACTATTGAGGGAACTCTGGTTTCAGAGCAACCAAATGTACTAAGTAACCCATCCCCTTGGCACATTTTTCCACATGACGTAATGCTACGGCTCACCGTATTTCACATGACACCCCAGTCACATTAAAATGCACCCTGGATACCGTGCCTTACATCGTAAACTAGTCAGCAGTGGGACTGTCCACACTGCAAGTTTTGTGCTGCAAAATCAAAGACCGATGCGAGTACTGAATCACTTGACAAGGGCAGTACTGCAACTTCAGTAATTCTTCAGCTGTATTCCATCATATGCCTGTATTATACTCATAAAGTAGTCCCTATAAGCCTGCTGTGCCTCATACTGCATGGATGCCTAGAAGAGACAAGACAGATAAAATAAAAAAGCAATAAGGACACAGATAATAGTGACACTTCCCCCCCTGCCCCAATCACAGAGGTACGCAGAAGGAAAGAAGCTGACTCTGGCTAACTCTAAATATGCTTTTGACATTTAAATTAATAGCAAGTTTTAGGTTGATATGACCACACATTGTGCCATACCTCAATTAGCACTATATATTGGCAATAAGATTGTAAATTAAGCTGTAGCTAAGGTTTCTAAGATCTGTCAGAGCTGCCTAACTTTTATACCACAAGATTAACTTGGAAGGCTGCACGGAAGATTCCCTGTGTCTATCAGCAATCTGCCTTTTTTTTTTTTTTGTTTTTTTCCCCTCCCCTTTAAGGACAACCTAGAAAATTATTTTGAGAGGACTGGAAAAAACAAAGGAATATTAACAGATGACAGAAAACATTAAAAAAAAAAGAATATTAAAATTGAGCTGCTTTGTACACACAGTTCTTGCATTTCACGAGCTGTGAAGTACACATAAGAACCGGTGTTTCCACACACCAGGACAATGCTACAGTATTGCAATGCCAACACCATTACAGAACTGTTAAGTTGAAAACAGAGAACTAAATAACCGTTTCAAGGAAACATTTAGTAGAACATACAGGCAAATTTCCTTTTTTTATTGTTCTTAAGGCTGGGTTACCTGGTAGACAGGCACAACAAGAGAAACAAAAAGCTTCAATTTTTCTCATCAAACCCCTGCAATATAAGCAGGATGTAATGAGAGTACAGTAACGCAAAGTAGTGAAGTCACTGATGTCTGTTTGACAGATCCAAAGGTACATGTTTGAACTTGCAGTGACCAGCTTCTGGATAAATATTTTGTTTGTACTTAAATGAACAGACTACACTATTATAAAGGAGTACATTAAAAAGCACGAAGAATGAGAATACAAGTATGTGAGAA